GTGCTTACATATGCTTATGTAACAACTTGCATGGTGAAAGCCAGAGGAGGAGATGGCGATGGAAGTGTTCTCGGATTCGTAGTTGATTGCAGGTCACGGTTAAATCCTCCTGTCCCAGAAAATTACTTCGGGAACTGTAATAGAGGTGCATTTGAAGTCGCGAAAGCAAGAGATTTCTTGGGTGAACAGGGTTTTGTTTACGCCGTTGAAAAAGTAAGTGGGATGGTGCAAGCTTTAATGGAGAAGGGGGTTCTTGAAGGAATTGAAAATAACCTGGTAATTAGTTTAGATATTTTTAAGCAAATGGCAGAGTCGGAGGTTCAGGTTATTACTGTTGCAGGGTCGCCTAGATTTGGTGTTTATGGAACAGATTTCGGATGGGGGAAACCACTGAAGGTGGTGATTGTTTCCATTGATAAGAGTGAAGCGTTTTCCATGGCGGAAAGCAGAGATGGGACCGGGGGAGTGGAGGTTGGTGTGGCTTTGAAGAAGCATGACATGGAAAAATTTTCTTCCTTGTTTCTGAAACATGTTTAACAAGTGGGATGTTACCATAGTTGTCATCAAACGGTAACCTATCTTCTTCTTCTTCTTAGTTTATTAATTTAGTATGATTATAAAATAATATTTTATTATTTTTAATTATTGATAATAAACTTATTCGAATTTAAAATCTTCAAAATAAATAATATTTATTTTAATCATTAAAATTATTTGAAAAATTCATAACTTATCTTGTTTCATTAAAATTTAATAATTATTTGATATAGAAATTTCATTTTTCACGAATATAAAAAAATCATTATATTTTATTGTAATAAATAAAATTAAGTAAAAAAATTCACGTTTCTCATTATTTTAATGTAATGGTCCGCAAAATTCATGCATTTTAACATGGATCCCACCAATTTTAACATTTGCCGCTGGTTACTCTGCTACTCTTAATTTCATGTCATAACCTAGGGGTAAATTTAGTGTTTAGTCACTTAATTATTTATATTATTTTATTTTTATTAGTTAATTATTTTTTCCTTCTGAAATCATAACTAATGTTATGTTTAATTTTTATTTTAGATACCACTCGTCAAAAAATTAACATAAACGTAGATGTGATATTTTTTTATTTTTTTCAATGAAGGTATAATATTATTTTATAATAATACGTCAACATCATTATTAATTTTTTAACGATAAATTATTAAAATAAAATTAAAATATTATATTATATATAATTTTAAGAAAAATAATTAAATGATTAAATAGAATAATAATTAATATTATATTATGTCAAATATTATATGTTTTGTACTTTTATGCAACCACTTGTTTTTTGTGGTTTGCATCTGTTCATTAATTAATAATAATTACAACTTTTTGCTGAGATAAAATACAAGATTGCAATGGATCCAGACCCGTACTTGTATCAGGAAAAACATGACGAAATGGATTAAATAAAACAGTGAAAAATATCTTATTTATTGTTTATTCTTTTAAATATGGATATTTTAAATAATAATATAGAAAAGATTCATAAAATAGTAAGTGTCTTTTATATGGTCTGAAAAATACGTATGAAACATTTGGTATTTTTTTTTGCATGGTTTGGAAAGGTATAGATTCATAAATTAGCAAATGTGCCATTGGTGGATATGTTAGAGAAAATGTTAAAATCTCAACAAAATATGAAAAATCATATGGCAGGACATGTGTCTTAAATGATGACAATAATGAGAGGTTCTAATATGAATTAAAGGGTCGAATGTCCAACAGCCAAGTCCCTACGCCTGTGAATGCCAATTCAACCAATGGTTTTCTCCCTATACTTGAGAATTTTCTCAGCCACCAAAATGTCAAGTTTTAGGTTCCTTTAATATGGAATTGTGTGTCCCTTTCCTTCTCTCAATAATACACTAACCACAAACTTTATGAATTCAATGCCCCAACTTGACTTGGACTTGGAATTAACCTGTTTTATCATTACAAGAATATGTCATAATGCTGGGGATTGTCTTATTCAACCTATTGATTAATCAAACGTAGAAACATAGTCTTACTATCATAGGTTCATCTCCTATGGACATTATGCAATGATTTTTGGGATCCTTCAAACAGATCCAACAAATATTCCTCCACGTCTTCTGAGTTGTAATTTATGGGTGTTTTTGGTTCGGGGTATGTGGGATTACCGGAGGGAATGAAATCCTTATTCCCCGTTTGGTTGGCCAGTGATCCTATTCTCGGTAATCTTTTATTCCTAACAATAGATTTTTTTGGGTATATTACCGGGAATGTGATTACTTCCCTTAGGTATTGTTGGATTACCGGAGTTTTAGACTAAAATGTCCTTAAATATTTTTTCAAAAATATCCTTCTTCTGTCGTTGGATAATAAAAATTATACGAAGGTTAAATTACAAATTTATCCTTAAACTATTTTAGATTTACAAAAAAAAGTCTATAATTAAAATTTTATATGAAGTTCAGGGGTTAAAATAAAATTTTACCATTTCATTAAACCTATTTATCTTTTCAAATTTGTAAAAAAAATTATATGAATTTTTTAAATTTAAAATTTTTAAAGAAAATATATAAATTAATTATAGTAATATTATAGTAGAATTCAACTTGTTAAAAAATCAAATATATAATAAGGATAATTTGGTAAAATATATATTCTAATAATATTTTATTCCTTTAACCAAATAATATAATTTTACATTCCTGCTAAACCAACCAAATACAAAATACAACATTCTTAGTAATCATATTCCCCGGTAATCTTTTATTCTCACTGATAATCTTACGTTCCGTGCTTCTTTCCAATCCGGTGCATTTGTCTTCCGATAAATGTCCGATAAGCCTGGATCACTTTCAGGGATGTCCATATCCGTAAATCTTCTCGAAGTTGAACATCCAGGATAAGCCATGCTGTCTGTGTTTTGTAAACCTCTTCGACAGCGGCATAAAATCTACGTAGTCTCTTCTTCACAAGTGTCCCTGAGATAGAACCCGAGCTCGAATCGTACTTGTCCTTCAACAACGAGAGAATTGAACTCTAAGTAGCTTTCTCGTACTCCAACTATGAAGGTCTTTATCCGGCCCTATCTCGGGTTGATGAGAACATCGAATCCTTTGCAGCCTCAACAAACATACAAAATTAGCTGATCCAAGGTCTGCAAAAACCTGGTCGCAGAGCCACTTCTCGCTGGCAAGATAGGGCCGGATAAAGACCTTCATAGTTCTAATCCATCTCTTGATCTTTGAATCCAATGCACCCCACTCCATGTTCAGCACATCTTCAATGCTCAATCTCTCCATTTCTTGATTGAAAAGGCACTCAGCTAATGCCTCCTTTATAACAATAACATAGGCCAGGCAACACTCGAGACCATAATTGGACTTGAACATCAAACTGACAATGCATTCAGGATCAAAGGGTTGCCAATGGTGAACAAGCAAGTGTCTGAACTCTTCTTCAAGCCTCTGCATTGCCATCTGAAGAACATCATAAGCTCTACGTAGCAAATCTTTCTCTTCTTTTCTATCTGAACACTGATTCTCCAATTTCTCCAACTTGCAAGCTTCATCGACGGCATTCAGATATTCAACAGCTCCACCAGAACTTGAATCCCAAACCATCGTTTGGACTTCCTTATAATCTTCTCCTCAACAACACTAAAATGATGTTCAATCTGTGAGGTTCTTATTGGAACCAAGTGTACCCACTATATGTTTCACCGCAGCAATTAAATTGTCATCTCCTTTGATTGTGGAAGCAGAGGTTCATAATCCCCCATGGCCACAACCACCACCCAGGAATTGGTAGAAAGGGAAATTTTAGAAAAGACCCAACAAAGCAAAGGTCATAAAAAATCACAAGGAACAGCTAAGTAGATTGCAAAGCAGCTGAAGAGATATAACAAAACTATCAAAATTCAAAAGAAAAGAAAGAGGACTTTTGAGTGTACGGGAAGTACAAATGAAGAAGGAGAGCCTCAAACTTGGGTGTAAATTTCTCTTTGGGAAACTACAACTTTTTTATATCTTAGAGTACGGCTCTTCATTCGTTCACCAACTATTATTATTACTATTTAATTATTATCACCCCTATTATTATTTCCTGTGTTTGTCTTCTTCGGAAATTTGTGCCTTTGACCAAGAGAAAAAGGAGAGAGACGTTTTGCAGGTAATTTATATAACAATTAAATAATAATCTATTACATACATATGGCCATATGGGCAAATTGGCATAATGTAATGGAAAGAATATACTTTAATATGGTGTAGAAAAAAATATTTTTCAAATAAAGTGAATGCTACAATGTAATTGAAAGTCGTTGAAAACATTTGACATTTTCTGAAAGACGTTTAGAAGATACGAATCTTAAATTTGTATTTATCTTCTTGCTCTTTCCAAACATCATCAACATCTATATTTTCACACCTAAAGCTGTACACCAAGGTTGGGAAGACTCAGGTCTTCTAGAAGTTTACATGAAGAAATCAGACGATTCATGCATCATCCCTAAGTTACTAAAGAGAATACTCTATTTGAGAAAATAAAATACGATGATCTTCGGTTGAGAATTTTTTGTTCACCTCATTATTTGGGTGATTTTACCCATATATATGGCTTGCACTTCCTGGAATTCTATTCATTGGAGGAAATTACGGTGTTCAAGGATTCTTGTTCCCGTGTAAGACATTATCAAGCTCCGAGAATGAGATCATTTTGTTTCTTCAGCAACAACAAAAGATTTGGCATTGAAAATATTAGAGGTCAGTTAAGCTTCAAGCATTCTATTACGTTGATGAATTAGCAGGAGCAGGGAAATTACCAAAGGCTTGAAAATGAAAGTGATGTAAATTCTGAACACAAATACGTTCAATTTCTTTCATAAAACCATATATTCATCAGACACAAATATTTAACCTTAAAAAATGGCTCAAACATAAAACGTCATTTGAAGATATGATCCAAAAATACAATGCAACTCAATCTTATCAACATTATGATGGGGAATCATCACGTGCCTTTAGCTTAACTGAAACAAATTCTCAATGATCCTCAGCACAACCACTGACAGCACCATTTCCTTATTACAGAATAACAATGAAGTTACAGAACCAAGAACCCTAGTAATCAAATAGAATGGTGCTACCTTGGTGTTTTCCCAGTGATTTTGGTTGTGCAAAAGTTACCATATAGTTGTCTCATTTTTCCAACAAAGGACCAAGTAACAAAATAATCTAATACCGGTTCCAGTAGGTCCTCCGTCTGAACCAGTTGTAATCAGGCAAACCTTGTATAGGACCCATTGCAGCAATTGCAATATCCTGCCCAAACCAAACACAAAGAAAGTTAAAGCATCATATCCAGAAAGTTCAGTCTCACCCCACCAAAAGAACGGCATTAAAGCATCATATCCTACTATAACAAAGGCATTCCAATGTTGTATCCACTTGAACTCATTTCAGTGAAAGCTGCAAGGGTATAGTAGTAATAGCTAGGTTAGGTTATGGTTCTTACCCTGTCATATATAAATCGGTTTGCAACACGTTTAACAGTGCTTGGATCAACAGCATCAATCCTAGCAAATAATTCAGCAAATGGGATTCTCCGACCATATGTAAGTAGCTGCAAGGATGAGAGATCAAACACAAACAAGCAACTGAAATGAGTAACAAATGATAGTAAATTTGTCTATTGCAAAAACAACTCAGCAAAGCTACTATCTGGGGTATATGTTGCACACCATGGTCAGTTACAGGAGTTTGATCAACCAACTCAACCACAATTAAACCAAAAATCAGAGGTCTGACCAATTCGATTTCCACTCCCTTTTTAACATTGTTAAAAATTCTTCAATGCATACCTGGCGCCCAATATCTTCAGCTACAGGACTAGTTCCATCCATGTGAAGCATCAACGATGACTTTAGCTGAGGAAAAAAAAAGTAGTTGAGATTGAGAAGATGGAATATATCTTCTTGTTTACAGGAGAAACAATACCTTCATTATTTAAGGGCACAACCTTGGTACCATACACAGATTTTTGTGATGTTAACATGCAGAAATGAGTTAAAGAGTAAGAATGGATTATAAGTAAAATGAGAGAATAAAAGGACTACCTACAGCAGGCATCAATTCATGGTGATATTTTAACTCATGGCAAGTACATTTTCCTTCTTTTTGCATTTATTTCCATCAAAAGGGTATAGTTCGTCTAAAATTGCACCATAAAATTGGTGATATTCAAAATAATAACAATACCTTTTCAAATAAAATGTACCTAACAAATACTAAGGTCTTTAAACGAAATCTACACTTGTGGGTGCATTATATACACATTTTTAAAGTAGAAAGCAAGATCACCTACTGGCAACTGGTTTTGTCCTCTATTGGCATACAGCTTGAAGTTCTTAAAAAGACACAAAACGTAAAATACAAAAATTAATATCTACAAACATGAAAAAAAGGCAGCATTTTTAGCTACCTGATTACGAGCACGAATGACATCAGCTTCTGAAACACGATGAGCTAGCTTGGTTATCTCATACATGATAGCATAAGCCAAATCATCCAAACAATAAGGCTGAAAACAGAACATAAAACTTAATGTTCATTCATAATAAAAGATAGAATAAAATGAAAAAAATAAACAAAAATACAAAAGCATATAGCCAATAACCCTTGTGGTTCACACATGCAAATCAAATTGTTAAAACTAAATTTGGGGGGGGGACCAGATACAATGTTTATGCCACTACACGAGAACCATAAATATCTATGATGATGTCAAAGAATCTCACAAATTTATAACTAAAGATATTGTCAACCCGAATAGGTAGTAGTTGATATATATACATGTTTAAATGTATTACACAAAAAGTTACATGAACAGGCAGGGAATCTCACCTTGGCAACAGCATAGACACCGAAAAGACCAGTATCTTTATAGTTAGTGTTGAATGCCATCATGCTTTCAGCAATTTCATCAATGGCAACTTTCTGTACCAGATCAGAGCTGTTTGGAAAAACACCAGAACAAATCAACACATTGTTGGAAAAGGAGAATCTCATCATGAGACCGCCGAGAAGGACTCATCCAGTTTATAATGTGATTGGATTAAGGAGAAAACTCACCCCATGTGCTTTCCACCACCAACATTTTTGCTCCATGAACCCAACATTGCCTGCATAACCATTAGAGCGATGGAGTCTGGATCTGTCCAAGATGCACCCTCAAAGGCAACTGCAAATTGTGCTAGAGGAACATCATCATTGATTATTCTCACCTGATTTTGTCAAATTTGAACAACAAATCCTTAGATGGCATAACACATTGAATATCAATACTGAATAAGAAGGTTCAACAGTTACAAGAGTAATGGCACTCCACCTCAGAACCAGTAAAAGCGGCTGGATCTTTCACAACTAGCTGAGAAGCAGTGGTTGGATCAGATGATAACTTGGTAAACAACTTCTTTACTTGCTCAACAACCTCCTCATGTTTAACAGCTCCAGATGCGGCAATGACCTATAAAAGTTGCCAAATAACTCATATTATAAGAACCTACCAACAATATTCTAAAATAACTGGAATAGCTCATAAGTTTTAAGGATTTGATCATATAATATTAAATCGATACACAAAAAATTCATCAGATTTAAGGACATGCATACCATTCTTGGAGCAGTGTAGTGTGTCTGAATATATTTCTCCAGATCTCCTTTGGCTATTGTCCTAATATTATCAGCAGGTCCCAAAATAGTTCTACCAAGAGGAGTGTATTGGAAAGCAGTTGAATGCAAATGGTCAAAAATAACTTCTTCTGTTTGACCCTCAACCTACAAAATTCCCCGAGATTATAGTCTTTCTATGAATAATAAACATATAACTAAATAGGAAGAACAAGTGCACGTGTTAATGCCATCTATTTTAGAATAATAATAATAAAAAAAAAGCTTGTGTACACTTTAAATACAAAAATTTTATTTCTGACCAACCACTCAATAAAATCCAGTAACCCTTTAAATTCCAATACAGCACATGTAACCCAGTTATTGCCAAATATGTCAAAGAAACCAAACAACTTACTTAGAAGCCAACAAACAAGCTTCACATATTCGTAAAACAGCCACAACTTATTTTAAGCGAACAAAATAACATTTTTTCACAGAAGTTTTCAAGCAATCATGTATAATGGCATTAATCAAAACATTTTACGTACATTTCCTTCAATAACATATTCCATTTCACATTAATCCATTAATCATTATGGCAAGAAAACACAAAATAACCCCATTATCTCACTCCATTCCCTAAAAACAGATAGTCAACGTTCTAAATCAATCAATAAAACACATACCATCCAAAAATCATTTAAAAACACATTAAAATCCTATGTTAGCCAGACTAAAAAGGGAAGTGAATATCGTATATGGATATGCGCTTCACACATATTGCTCAATTTCTTCTAAGTTCTTTCACATAGTTGGAGGATCATAACCCCACTCTTCCAAATATGTTCCAGACACAGGTGTCAAGCAAGAGTCCGCACAACATCGTAAATTCCATACACACACACACAGAATTTACTTCCTACATATATCTTAATTCCAATTACCAATAATATTCCCCCAAAACAGATAGAATACATGACTAAACCAACCAATTCAACACACATAAGACAAAACAAACTAAACCCATAAAAAGCCATTTTTTTACGTTGCTAAATTTATATCCTTCTCAGTTCTCCCTGATAATCATTTTCGCCAAACGTTTCTTAAAGATCATATATATTCCACAAAATTGACATTTTTAAATCAATCATTAACCTGAGTACTTATTTACATCCTATATGAAAAAAAAAACAATTCATATCCCCTCCTATGTTCTCTAAAAACAGAGACAATTGACTGATATTGAACTATGAACATAAATATAAGATAAAACCCATTTAAAATAAAAAAATGACAAAGAAACGATTTTTACTTACCTCCTCCATTTCCCTTAGAATTACATCCCTTTCCCTATTAATTCGATGTTCATCGAACTTCGAATTCTGCAAAATATCAGCTAATATATCCAACGCTTTAAAGACATCTTTATCCATGACTTTGGCGTAATAAGTCGTTTGTTCCCTAGAAGTATAAGCATTCAAATGCCCTCCCATATTTTCAATCTCTTCCTCCAGTTCCCTCGCGGACCTTTTCTCCGTACCTTTAAATATCATATGCTCCAAGAAATGTGCAGTCCCATTTGTCTCATCGGTCTCAAATCTCGACCCTGCATCGATCCAGACCCCAACAGTGGCCGTGCGGGAAGACAGAGTAGATTCGGTGGCGACATGAAGGCCGTTGGGCAAAGTAGTAATTTTGGTTTCGGGGGAAGACAGGATGTGCGCGTGGGATGCCAGGGTGGGGTGAGGGGAACCGTATCTGAGGAAACGGGAATCTGGGTTTTCGAGCTTTTGGAGCTTTTCTTTAACGGAGAGGGCTAAGCGGTCGTAGATCATGGCGGTTGGTGGAGGAGGGGAGATCTCTTTAGATTCCGCAGAGGCAGTAGAAGCGAGAGGAGAAGCGGCGGAGGAAGACGATCGGGCGATGGTGAAAGAAGAAGCAGGCTTGGGCGGCCGGCGAGCTAGAGAGAGAAGCTGCTTCATCGCCATTTTTTATGGCTCTTTGCGTGAGTTTTTGATTGTATATTTTAGGTTTGTGTAGACCGATGAGAGGGAAGGTCTGGCTGCGGTGTTTTTCTTAGCTTAATGCTTAACACTGTCACGATGTCGTATTTGATGTATGAGATTCATTCTTATAATACTATGTCGCTTTGCAAGAATAAAAGAAATATCTGTTTACTTTATAAATAGGAATTTTGAAATTATTCGGACGTTTTGAGTTAATTTAATTTTATTTGATCTATTTTTAAAAAATATATATATATTCGAATTGAAGTCATTGGAATGAGACATTTCATTTCCACCAAAGAAAATGAGAACTGCAACTAAATTGGTTGCTTTTCACAATCTTCAGACAAAGGGAGGAGTAGGATTGACATTATTCGGTAAATAAAATAACAGAATGAAAAGAAAAGAAAAGAACCCTATAATTCTCTTGCTTCATTGCCTTGGAAAGTGTACTGACTCGTGTCATTCCATGACATGCATTTTATCTTCTTATGTAGTGGAATGTGGAACTTTGGCTCCCTTGGTACAGTTGGATTCTTTAATGACCTTCAACATAACCAAAAACAAACACCGCATTAGTACAACCAATACCAATCAATTTTCCAACTATGTTATTCCGACCGACTCTTCATTTTCTTCAAGTATTCAAACCTGAATAACATAGTTGAGTCCGAATAATAACATAGCTTTTGAAGCTTGATCAAATAATTTTTTTTGAGAATTTTGAAGCTAAACCAAGGTAAAATCTTTTACCTTCTAGGAATAAAAGGCCTGTCAAAGTAAGGCATAGGCTGTGCTTTTGGAATGAGCTCCTTCCTAACCCTCTTTAGCTCTTCTTCTTCTGCCATCTTCAACAGCAAAAAAAAAAAAAAAAATTAGATTATTTGCTTAAAGTCAAAAACCTTAAATCATGCATATATATATATATATTAAAATCATTTACCTTTTGCTGTCTCTCCCTTTCCATTTTATATTGCTCTATTAGACTCATCTTCTCAGCCACCTGGAAACACACACAAAAAGAATGATTTTCCAAACTTGTTATTTATGTATGTACTTCAGATTAGATACACAATATAGCACTTCAGAACATCAATGCCACCAATCAGACAGTAGTAATTAAAATGAACCTGGTGATCGAACTCGGCACGCTCCACAGCACGCACATCACTATTGAGTCTTAGGCTTACTGGTCTTGTTCTCTCTTTAACAGGAGGTTTGATCAACACCTGCATTAAACAACACACTTGAACTGATGAGAAAGATCTATGTAACTGTTAATATTTTCACTTAATTTGAACTGTATAGAAGTGGTCTCGGACCTCTGGTTCGTCGGTTGTCCATGGGAGGCCTTGAGCAATCGGAATCCGCTTCTTCTCTCGCTCTATCATCATTTCTTGGATCTTCTTCATGAACTCTTTTTCCTTCGCCCTACCTCTTTGCTGTAACAGTAACAAGTAATTGAAGATTATAACATAAGAATCACTTCAAATAAAGATGGATACATGGTCTATAAACAGAAACTCTAGTCAAACTGAAGCTGTACCTCAGTTCTTAGCTTGAATGGTTTCAGGGAAGTGGGTTTGAGCTGCTTTTTCCATCTCCTCCCACCAGTTGTCCCGGCAGAGTCAGAGCTCTAAAATGCAATACAAAATTCACAAGCCAAAATGCATAAAATAAACATTTATATTTGCATATATATTTATATCTGTGATCCATGTTCTAAGTATAGACCACTATACCTATATAAGCAATTGTAGAGAGGCCTGATGATTCATTTATAAGCAGTTTAGATCAATGTTTACAATAGCTATTTTGCAATTTCCATTCTTTTCACAATCAATATTCATGGATGATGTTTACTATAATTAACCAATGCTTTCGCGATCACAATATGAAACACTGAAAATATATTATCTTAAGTGAATGGTTACTTACATTTCTTCGGCTTCTTCGACCTCCATTGGGATTCCTGCTTGAACAATGTAACATAGATGAGAGAACCAACAATCAGACAACTTAAAAATATAAAAAAGAAGCAGCAAATATGTTTGCGGGCGGGTAAAGTAATCAATCAGTTGCTTCTCTGACCTTTCTTGGCTACTGTCCCACGAAGAAGAAACTGAGAAACGTGGATCCAAACCAAGATTCTCAGCAGTCAAAACAAAATCCGATGGACAAAATGAAGAAAATGATGTCTCATCATCATTCTCAGCGTCACCCTCGGTCACGTTTGTTGGTTGCAATCCAGGTAACGCCCATTTCAGTGACTTCTTCTTATTATTATAATTACCAATCTTTTCTTCTCTTGGTTCCTTTTCATCTTCTCCTTCCTTATCTGTATCCTTTGGATCCGGTATCGAAAGAAGACTCTCAAAGGCCTTAACCAGATGCATAACTTTCCCACATTCAGGCACACTATTCCTTGCTTCTTCCATCAACCTATCTCTCCTCCTCTTAATAATAGTAGAACTGCCTGCTTCACTTGAGTTTTCGATCTCGTCAATCTCTTGATTATCTGATCCATAACCTTCAACCAATTCACCCGTCTCTTCAGCATATTCTTCAGCTTTGTTCTTGAAAAACTCTTCTTGAGACGCTCTCAGATTTTCATAAGCAACGCATAGACATTTCTTCGAATTCCCACCGAGCTTCTCTTTGCATTTGCAATTAACCCCAGCCGTCGTCGGATTCAAATCGGACTTCACTTTCTTCGAGGTCTTCTTAGCCACCACCACAAACTTCCTTTCCCTATGCTTGTTACTCGGTGAATAAATGACCGGATTCCTGGAAGAATGTTTCTTGGATTTTGAAGATCTTGTTAATGGAGAAGTTGAATTGGAAATGTTTGGATTTGAATTCTCAGAATGTTTCGAATCCTTTGGGGTTTTCGATCGAGAATAACCTTCTGGGTCTTTCACAGGAGTCCCCAGTTTAGTGTTCTTGGCAACCTCCATTGAGGAAAAACTGAGGAAATCTTTCAAGAAGTGGACCGAAAATTGAAAATAAAAACTGGGTATTGGTGTTTGATTGATTAGAAGGAAAAAAAGATTTCCAAGAAAGTGAGAGAAAATCCGTGGAGTCTACGATTTTGATGAAACAAGTGAAAGGGAAGAAAATAATAAATCAAAGAAAAGAAGAAAAATATGAACGTTGGAAGCCTGGCTACGCTCTGTGTAACGGCTAGTTTTGGGGGTTATTTGGAGACCGTCGGATTAATTTTTTAAAAAATGTGGATTATATTTATAAACCGTTAGATTAAATGATTAAGAGAAATAATTGGGATATCCTTTGATGAGTAACCGTTATGGACGGGAAAGACCGGAATGGAGCATATAGATACGAACACACCCTTTATTATTTTAGAAAATTACAATCGAATCCTTTTGGGTTGGATTTGTATTTTGGGCCATGATGGATTGAAGCTTTTAGCAATGGATTGATCTGGGCCAATTTGGGTAAAGTCGCACAATTTCTTTCATCGATAATTCAAGGAATAAAAATTCTAATATGAAAATTATAAATTTTTTTAATATTCTGAAGTGGTTAAAAGATAGTATTTATTTAGAATATTCTTAGTCTCTTGATAACATATATACATCATATAGATACAGTTATTTAAATTCAATATCTTTAGAAATAACAACAATTCATTTTATAACACAACCAATGTGAATGCCCTTATGTATAACACCGATCTAATATGATCAAAATACAAACTTAAACATTATAAATTTCCTTGAGAGGAAAGTTCCCATGCTTCTTAATTAACCTAAAATTTTGTACCTACGAAATCTGATCATCTTTTTGATCCAACCTATACATAGTTTTCATTTTAAAATAAATAAATAACAAACTCAACACAAATATTTTTCTTGCACTTTTGTTTTGTACCCAATAGTCATATTTTCAACCCTTTTTCATATAATTTTAAATTTTCTATTTCTTATATATTCCTTATTTTATGACACGAGCCATCATAACCTTGTTTTTTTTTTTCTCCGTATCCATCTCCATCTCCATCTTTACTTAATATGGCTTCAACTACACTCAAAACTTTAGTTTTGCTGAGTCGTGAAGCAACTTCATTAATTCTTGGTTTTGAAGATTTCCCTTTCATCTTTTCTCCCATCAGAAAATTGTGCAGCAATTATGCTTACCAATTGATTTATCAGTATGATTAAAAAATTTAAAAACAAAATTATAGCATTTCTTGGATCAATAGCCAAAATTTCTAAGATCTAGGCTACCCTTAACTAACATGATTACAATTAGGCTCTATACCCCTCCAACCACCATCGGACTTGAATTGCTCGAACGAACTTCGTTACCTTACGATCAATACGAGTTACGCTTTATAAAATCCATAGTTTTTTTGTTATAAGAAAAATATATGATATCATCGTCGATACATGGTATGATGTGATATTATTGTGTTATTAAAAATTAACACCATTTATAAAAGTATCGTAATAATGTATGAAATTAAAATTCATGTATTAGTTTGAGAATATTTTTTTAAATTATCAATTATAGTTGGTTCAGTTATACATATGAATGCTTTAACTTTTTATTTTTATTTTCTTTCTCAAATTAAAGTGTCGATGATCCACTTATTATGTTAATACAAATTTAAACTAGGTTTTTATGTTCTAATTATGATTTATATTTTAATTGAATGATTGAATTTTGTCTTGTTTGTGTATATCATAATTCATAAATGTGGCACGAATCTCAATGATCTCGGTGGTAAAAAAATTGTTGTTATTCATTTAGGTCTCGAGTTTAAGCGTACCATTAATCCTAATGATACGATCGTTTAATGTCAAAAAGTTGAGAATTGTGACTCATTATTATAAATATATTTATGGGCATTTTTAAGATGTCGGAATGAAGGCATCAAAAGTTTGGGAGTTAAAAGTATAATTTCATTTAAAATTTAATGAATTATTAAAGATTAAAAAAAATCTCATTTTAGAGGCCAAAATCACTGCGAAGCCCTTAATTTGGCCTTGAGTATATTGTTAATCAAACTATCATTGTACTTTTGTGGTATCGAATTTATGTTCAAAATACATAATTCTTAAAATTTATTTAATAATATATAGAAACATTACTTTTATAAAAAAATATAATTATTCAAAAATGATAGAATCGATGTTTTAAATAAATAAATTATAAAATTTTAAATATCTTATTTTTCTTTTATTTTATTTTAAAAGAGTTTTTAAATACATATATGATTTTATATATTATACCTTAAAATTTGATCATATCATTGATAAAAATTTAGTTTGGCCTATTTTTAATTAACTTAAATAAATTGATTCAACTAGACTCATTGAAAAAAAAATAAATTAATAAAATATAATTTTTAACTTAATTAGTTTAAAACTCTATTATTTAGATGTCTCCTACGGAAGCTGCTCTCAACCTAATGTTAAGGACAACCTACTATCTTACCTCCCCTTATCCCATTACATATGGGAACAAGGGACATCAAGATATTTAGTTCGAACAAATATTCACCAAACAAGTTAAATCGTTATACTAAAAAGTTTTTTACTTTCCCAATATCCAATCATCCTCGCTTGATCTAAAAAAGTGCATTTTCATTCTTAACTTTTTATTAAATAATAATTATCAATCAATAAAGTTCAACTTTTATTTGATCTAAAGGTTAGGATGGATCGAACGAAATCGGCTGGGAACAATAATTTTCCTAAAAAATTTAAATATATTTTAGATATTTTTTATTAATAATATATTTTAATACCTAACATTTTATAAATTAATTTTTTTTTAAATTTAATAATTATTCTTATTTAACATAAAATTATTCTTAAAGACCATGATTTTTGGAATTATGTTGCAAGTTCTAACATAAGCTGGACTGTTAATAGAATCTTTAAATTGTGTGCTACAAGTTTAACTATTTTTTCTTCTTCTGGTTCATTAAAGCTTAGTAACATCTGTGATTCAATTCGTAATAAAAGGGAGAAAGTTTCATGACACAAACTTATCTGGTTCCCAATGCACATCCCAAAATACAGTTTGATCACTTGGATGGCACTGCTGAACATACTTCCTACTAGAGATTGGTTACTCAAAATGGGAATCAATTCTGATGATATTTGTGTTAACTGCAACATCGAGCAAGAGACTAGAAATCATATTTTTTTTCTCAATGCCCTCTTGCTGTTCGTCTTTGGAATCCAATAATGTCGCTCAACGGATTAAATAGTATTGTTTTATCATGAGATGTTATGGTTGCTACGGCTGCTTCAACATGGAAAGGTAAGTCTCTTCTCACCACAATCTTAAAGATCTCATGGACTGAATTTATATACTTACTGTGGGAAGAAAGGAATTACAGAATTTTTCAAGGTCGTCAGAGAACTATCGAAGACATGTTGAAAAAGATTAAAGAAGCTGTTGGTATTCAACTTAAGGGTATAAATATTAATAGATTAAATAGTACTAATATTAATCTTTGTAATGCTTGGGGTATAATCTAATCAATCTGTGTTTGTTGTAAGTAGGTTGTTTTTAGTCTTCTTTGTTATAGATTGGTTGATTGCATTGTAACATTTCTATGCTATTTGGATAATAAAATTCGATTCATAAAAAAAAAACGTTTGAATTTTACTGACAAAATCACCGAGAAAGTTTGTTTGAGTTTTACTAGTCAAAAACCATTTAAAATAGTCCCCCCGATAAGACTATTATATTGCATTCATTCTCTTTCTTTTACTTTTAAGAAAGAAAGGGAAAATCTAGGGGCTCCAATGAATTCCATTTAATCATGTGTAAAGTAAGTTTTATTATAGCGAATGCGTGTTTTTTAGATAATTAAAAAGCAATGTTAGTATTTTAATTAGAATAGTTAATAACAATAATTATTTCCTCCTTATTTAATAATATTAATTATTATTATTAATTAATAAATATCACTAATATTAAATCTCAAATTTAAATGTAATTTATTTTAAGATATCTTCTATAGCAAAAAGATATATCATTTCTTGATTCCTAAGCCTTTGAAGTCAAAGCCTCGTGTTAGGAAAATCAAGAAGAATGGACCAACTAATGTTGACTTAGCCATTGCAACTTAATTGTATCTTCATCTTAAAGATTTCTAAGTATAATCTCAAAGATAATTGTTTAAAGCTATTAATTTAACATCTAAATTGAGATGACATGCATTATTCTTTCATCGTATAATTATACGACTTGCTTTAGATTTTATAATTTTTTTTATAATCATCTGTATACGATTTATTAGTTGACTAATTTAGATTGGATACTACAGAGATGAGAATTACTCTCCTAATCTAATTTATTTATTTCACAAATGTTAAAATTTAAATTCATTACATTATTCAAAAGATTTAATATCTTATCTTACCGAATCAAATGATTATTGATAAATTTTATGATTATTTAATACATTTTCACTGCTATTTTAAAGCTCCACAAACAGAGGAGGAACATGTCATTGGGATATAATGATAAATAAATATAAATAAAAACGAGACATGGTTTTGTTAAAGGATGCCCATTTTTGTAATTTCATTTCAGTTGACAAGAATTTTCGTCGGTGGTCACTTTACATGTTTACCCGCCGTTGTTTATTGCCGCCAACCGGAATTCCCGGAAAAATTAGAAGGGTAAAATTGGAATTGAATTTAGTATAAAAACAACAACCCCGCTCTTCTGATTTCATGTCGTTAAAGAAGAGCTGCCCTCTTCTCCTCTTTCTCTGAACTTGTATCGTCTCTATCTGAGTATCAATTCTTGAGGTAAACGAATACAAATCATTCTACTTTCTTTTCTTTTATTTTGAGTTTTCACCTTAGTGATTTGGGTGGTGGACAGAGTTTTTGTTGCTTATTTTTTCTGCTTGGAAAAAAATGTGCTTTTTAAAGTTGTTTGTTCTTGATCTGCTTCTCCATCTGACATGATTGATACTTCCTTTGCTTTTTTCACCTTGATTTTTCATGTATGAAAATGGTATATTTGAATCTTTTTGAGCGGTGCCTCTTGATCCGAGTATCTATTCCACAAGATTCAAAATCTGTTGCTATTTTACGTTGTTTTTTTTTTGGGTGAATTAAAACGTTTAGTTTCCATATTTCTAGAGTGAACTCGTTTTTGTTGGTTTAACAAAACGAATCTGCTAAATTGTGTCTATGTTATGGTTATGAAACTTGGACTACAGCTTTGAATCAAGCTAATTGTCTATGGATCTGAAAGAATTGTTTTGATTTTCATTTGCCTGTGTTTTAATTTTGGATCTACTGTTTGTAATCTGTTGGTTAATATATAATTAAATTTGCAACTCAAATTGTCAGATCTGAGAGTATATTTTTCTGCAATTACTGTTTTCTATTCCCTGCTGAGAATTCGTGTATGCAAAGTTCAGATATCTAAAACATTTCATAAGTTGAGAAAAGACTTACCTCATACAAAATATGGATCTTGCTGTATTCACAATGACATTAAGTTTCTTCTGGATTTACTGTTTGGTTTGTGCTTTTGGGAAGATTCGAGAAATGTTTTTCTCTAGTGTTTTTTTTTTGTCGTCTATTTGAATACTTCTCTTTGTTTAGGTAATAGTATAAAAACAAAATGGTGAAGATCTGTTGCATTGGAGCTGGTTATGTTGGTGGGCCAACAATGGCCGTCATTGCACTTAAATGCCCATCTATTGAAGTAGCAGTTGTTGATATCTCTGTTCCTAGGATTAACGCATGGAACAGTGATCAGCTTCCAATCTATGAGCCTGGTCTGGATGATGTTGTGAAGCAGTGTCGTGGAAAGAACCTTTTTTTCAGCACCGATGTAGAGAAACATGTGCGTGAGGCTGATATAGTCTTTGTTTCTGTCAACACTCCGACCAAGACCCAAGGGCTTGGAGCTGGCAAGGCTGCAGACCTTACATATTGGGAAAGTGCTGCTCGTATGATTGCTGATGTATCAAAATCCGACAAGATTGTGGTTGAGAAATCAACAGTCCCTGTCAAAACTGCTGAGGCAATTGAAAAGATCCTCACCCACAACAGCAAGGGGATCAAATTCCAAATTCTTTCCAACCCGGAGTTTCTTGCGGAGGGAACTGCAATTCAAGATCTTTTTAACCCTGACCGTGTTCTCATTGGAGGCCGGGAGACCCCAGAAGGCAACAAGGCTGTCCAAGCATTGAAGGATGTTTATGCTCACTGGGTCCCAGAAGACCGAATTCTCACCACCAATCTTTGGTCTGCAGAGCTTTCCAAGCTTGCTGCCAATGCTTTCTTAGCTCAGAGGATCTCTTCTGTAAATGCCATGTCTGCTCTTTGTGAAGCAACCGGGGCTGATGTCATGCAAGTGTCATATGCTGTCGGTAAGGATACAAGAATTGGACCCAAGTTTTTGAATGCCAGTGTTGGTTTTGGTGGATCCTGCTTCCAGAAGGACATTCTGAATCTGGTTTACATCTGTGAGTGCAATGGTCTTCCAGAGGTGGCTGAGTATTGGAGACAAGTCATTAAAATCAATGACTATCAGAAGAACCGATTTGTTAACCGTGTTGTTTCCTCGATGTTCAACACGGTTTCAAACAAGAAGATTGCTATTTTAGGGTTTGCTTTCAAGAAGGATACAGGTGATACTAGGGAAACCCCAGCCATTGATGTATGCAAGGGGCTTTTGGGAGACAAAGCTCGGTTGAGCATATATGATCCTCAGGTCACGGAGGACCAGATCCAGAGGGACCTTACCATGAACAAGTTTGACTGGGACCATCCCCTTCACTTGCAGCCCATGAGTCCCACAACTGTTAAGCAAGTCACTTGTGTCTGGGATGCTTATGAGGCAACAAAAGATGCTCATGGAATTTGCATTCTGACCGAGTGGGATGAATTCAAGACTCTCGACTTCAAGAAGATATACGACAACATGCAAAAGCCAGCTTTCGTCTTTGATGGCCGGAACATCGTGAATGCGGAGCAGCTAAGGGAGATTGGTTTCATAGTCTACTCGATTGGTAAGCCACTGGATGCATGGCTCAAGGACATGCCTGCAGTGGCATAAAATGTGATGCATACAACGGTCATAAATGCTCATGTTCTGCGACAACGGATTAAAGTTTGAGGCTGTCAGTTTTATTCTTTACTACCGAATTTTTTTCCCCTACAAGTTTGATTGTTTCCTTGCTTTTCCTTCACCATGGCAGCCAACAGAGTTGGAATTTTACCATCATGGTGAAACAGTAAACGGCTGTTTGTGGCGCCATACATTTATATTGAATAATATTTACCATCTTTCTGTTGGTTGTTAGAAAACTTAATTATTGTTGGACTTAATCTCGTGTCATCTGTAGAATGGTGAAATTTCATAAACATTGTCTCTTTATTGAAATGATTTTACTTTGCCACAAATGAGCATCTTGACAAAACTCATCTTTTAAGTACTCGTATTTCTAACCACCATCAACTTCCTGTTTTAAATTATTCTTAATACACATACTACCACTAGGCCTGTAAATGAACTTAACGTTAAGTGAATTGTTCATTAATCGTGCGGCTGGAAGTTTTTTTATGTTCGTTTATTTAATGAACAAACATGAACAAGATTTTGCGTTCGTTTAATTAAATGAACGAACACGAACAAAGGGCTTGTTCGTTCATTTACGTTCGTGAACGTTCGATTATATGTTCGTTCATTTATGTTCATTTATGATCGTTCATTTATGTTCGAACATATGACAAGCTGAATATGTTACGAAGATTATATAAGTTGTTTGAATTTCCAGAAAATTGTTTTGTTGAACAAATTAAATTAAAGAATTTATTATGTTCATATAGTTTATTTATAATTTATGTTTTTTGTCGTATTCGAACAAATTAACTCTAAAGTTGTAGGTTATATTAATAAATTTTAAGTTGTTATTCTTGTTGTTTACTTTTTTTTACATTCATTTGTTGTGTTCGAATAAGTTTATTTTTTGTGTTTGTGTTGTTCGTTTATTATGTTCGTTTACGTTCGTTTATGTTCATTTATCATTTAAATGAACGAACATGAACAAGTTATATTCCTTAATGAACGAACATGAACAAAAAAAATCGTTTATGTTCGTTTATTTATTAAATAAACGAACATGAACATACCTCCGTTCGTGTGCGTTCGGTTCGTATACAGACCTAACAGCAGCTCTCCAATTATAATAAGAAACAGTTATGAAGGTTCCAAATTAAGCCTTTCAGGTGTAAAGATGCAATTGAATTTAACAGCTAAGCTTCATGTGGCATAACACCAGAACGTGATTAAAAGCAGTGAAGAAAAAACACATATTCGAATCCAACTATCCAAGCACCTTTAATTATTTATTTTATATCTTGTTTTTAGAATAAACTAGATTAATTATTTATTGTGTCTGTAATAATAGAATTCGAGATACAATTTGAAAAATTAGAAACAAACCAAATAGAAGAATGACATTCGAGGGCCTATTGAACCAATTCATACGCAATCATATTAGTTTCTCTAGAGTAAAAATAATAATAAAATCATTTATCAAGAATAGATTTATCATAAAAGGTCTCAAAGGTAAATACATATTTTTAAAAGAGAAAATCGCCTCAGTGACCAAAAAAAAGTTATAATATACGATTTTAACCAACTTTTTTTGGATTTGCCAAAATGACCAACAAAATCGCAACGCGAAATAAAAATCGCAACGCGATCCCCAGAATCGCAAATCAGTTTCCAGAATCGCAACGCGATTCTTGAAAATCGCGATGCGATAGTACAAATTCGCATTGCGATTTTCCATAATCGCAACGCGAATATGAAAATCGCAACGCGAACACATAAATCGCAACGCGTATCCGTAAATCGCAACGTGTATCCGTAAATCGCAACGCGTATGGGTAAATCGCAATGCGTATCCGTATATCGCAACGCGTATCCGTAAATCGCAACGCGTATCCGTAAACCGCAACGTGTATCCGTAAATCGCAACGCGTATCCGTAAATCGCAATGCGTATCCATAAATCGCAACGCGTATCCGTAAATCGCAACGATAATCCGTAAATCGCAACGCGTATCCGTAAATCGCAACGATAATCCGTAAATCGCAACGAGAATCTGTAAATCGCAACGATAATCCGTAAATCGCAACGAGAATCTGTAAATCACAACACTGAAATTTTGGGTATATAACACTGAAATCATAAACTAAATCCCTAAATCGCAACTCATTCCATCTCCATCTATCACTCTCTCCGGCGACATCCGTTCCTATATCCAACGACATCCTTCCCCATCCGGCAACAGGTCTTAGTTTCGCATCTCGTTTGTTTAGTTACAACCATGAAATCATCTAATGTTGATCATGTTTGGATAGATTTGTGTTTTGGAGGGTCATGGGATAATGTTAATGGTGTTTTACAATATATGCCTTTACCCATAAATCTTCAACTAAAATTGTCTTTACAAAAGTTAACTTATGAAACTCTAATGCTACGTGTTTCAAATAAATTGAATTTAGAGCCCCTAAGTGGATTTAGGCTATCTTATCAGAGAAATGGTAAAGTTTATTTGTTAACCGACAATGAAGATGTTGAACGATTCATTGCTTACATTAGTGTTTCACAAGATGATGTTACATTGTATGTTGTTGAACCTAGAAGTAGTATTGTTGGGTCAGTAGCGGGTAGTAATCACTAAGTTTTTCTCAAAACCCACAACCTTTCTCTAATCCAAATCCCAATCAACTTTCAGCACCAAATTCCGGTTTTCGTATTGACCAGTTAGACGATGATGAGCCAACAGAAAAAATTGTGAGTACTAGTCAGTATTCGAAATTTGGTCTTGGTCAATATCCGGACTTTGATATTGGTCAATACACGGATTTTGATGATGTTTCAGAAGAAGAAACAGACCATGCGTGTAATGATATTGATATTGGTCAATACCCGAATTTTGATGATGAAACAGCCGTTGCCGAAGAATGTAATGTTGATGATAATGAGGAGGAAGTTACGACTGTGAATGAACATGTTGAACATCCATTCTGTAATTCATATAATCCTGAAGAAGAAAAAGAAGAAGAAAAAGTCCCCGAAGAAAAGAAAATGCCACGGGCGTATAACTGGAATATGCCAGAATTACTTCAGATACCGGAAGAAGAGTTGATAAAGAAAGCAGTTGATTGTTACACAAAAGTTATTCGTATCAAGAAAGATGATTGTTTTGATACAAAGGAAGACTTGAAGATAGCTTTATATACGAAATGTGTGGAAGATGGCTATCAACTAAAAGTTAACAAATCAAGCAAAGATCGTTTCGAAACAAGGTGTATGATTGACAAAAACTGTACGTGGCGTATGATTGCAAAGAGAATAAAAGATTGCAAAATGTTTCAAGTTAGGACTTTTATTGATAAACATACATGTTCAAGAACCCAAGTTTTTCCTCACCATAGACAGGCAAACAAAAAGGTGTTGGGTGGTTTTCTGGCTGAGTTAATGTTTTTGAATGGCAGGGTATATCGGGGACATGAAATTATGACTGACATGAATGCTCGGTTCAAGATTAGTATATCATATTCTCAAGCTTGGAGAGCCAAATGTTATGCCTTGGAATTGTTGAGGGGGTCGCCAGAAGCATCGTTTGCCCAACTGCCGGCTTATTGTCACAATTTAAAGCTGAAAAATCCTGGGTCGGTAACTCATATCAAAACAGATAGAGATGGACGCTTTGAGTTGCTGTTTATCGCCATTGGTGCTACGGTTAGTAAATCAATATAATTTTGTTGACTCATTTTTGTTAGTTACATGCATTTCACATTTAAATGATTATATTTCTTGTGTATATTATTTTGTAGATTCGTTCGTTTATTACTTGCATGCGCCCAGTTATTATAGTTGACGGAGCACATTTGAAAGGTCGATACCTTGGAGTAAACTTATTAGCAGTAGCCATGGATGCTAACAATGGGATATTGCCAATAGCTTACGGGGTTGGCAAATCTGAAACCTCTGATTCATGGACATGGTTTATGGGGCATCTTAGGGATTGCATAGGTCCTATTAGCAATCTGACAATCATATCCGATAGGGCAAACTCAATTGACAACGCTGTTAGAAGGTGTTTCCCAGATGCTTTTCATGGACTTTGTGGTGTTCATTTGTATAGAAATCTAAAATCAAGGTCTGCTGGTATAAAAAAGCACAAATGGACATACTGGAAGGCTGTAAAAGCTTATCGGGAAGTGGATTTCAATAAGCATATAAATTGTTTAAGACGTGTTTTGCCTCAGTGTGCTCAAACACTAGAAGATGTCGGGTTTGAAAGATGGTCAAGAGTACATCAACTTGGAGCAAGATATGGTTTCATGACGTCTAATAGTGCAGAATCAATCAACGCTCTAAGTCGTCATTCCCGGAAATTACCCATTACTATGTTAATGGAGTTTTTTCGAGCCTCTATTCAACAGTGGTACTACAAGAAAAGAAACCATGCAGGTATTATTTCTTTGAATTCGTAACTTATCATATTATATATTTTACTAAGTATTGTTTATTTAAATTTACAGGAACATTGGAACATCGTGTTACACCATGGACTGAAAAAAAGATAACGAAACGTGTTGTGAAGTCAACGTCATGGAGAGTTGAACCATGTTCAAACACTTTGTTTCAAGTACTGGATAATAACTTAAATGGGCTAGTCGATCTAAATGCAAAGACGTGTAGTTGTATGAAATGGCAAACATCTGGTTATCCGTGTGGCCATGTTATAAAAGTTGCTCTTCATTTAAACCAAGATGATTCAAGCGCATACGCTATGGATTGCTACACTACAGAAGTTTATCGACAGACTTATGCCGAGATTGTCTACCCTATTCCACATCCTTCTGAGTGGGACATACCAGATGACTTACAAACAGTTTTGCCACCAGCCATGGACAGAAGGCTACCTGGCCGACCAAAAAGTCACGATCGTATACCGTCTAAGGGTGAAGAGAAGAAGAGATCGACATGTAGTCGGTGCAAGGAAAGTGGTCATACAAGGTTGACATGTGGATCACCAGTGCCATCAAAATCATCTTTTCCTCTACCAAAATATGGATCCTCATCAAAATCCAAAGCTCATATGGTGTGAACTTTGTATTATGTAAACGTTGTTATTCAGTTGTATTATGTAAACGTTTTAACATTTAACATTTTATGTGTATTATGTAAACGTTGCCATCAAAAGCTCATATGCAAACGTTGTATTATGTGGATTTTATGTGTGAACTTTTAACATTTTCAGTTGAATTAATGACTCA